GTTAGGATTATCTCAAAATCTATTTTTATATCTAATTAGAAAATTTTAAATTGAAAAAATAGTTAAAATCAAGTAGATCTATAAACATGTGAAAATCTTGAAAATGGACAGTGTAAATAATATATTATAAAATGTACTATTTCTGAGACTTTAAATCTTTTTATTTTTTATGGTCATATATCTCGATGTTGAGATGATTAATCAAAGGGTTTTTCAACATTAAAACTATTTTTTCCAATGGATATTTGAAGGGCATCCGTAATTCTACATTAAAAGGTTCCACCCTTATATAAACCTTTTTCAAAGAGTAAATATGGATTTATACTGGTTCCAATAAAGAAAAGTGATTTTTTCAAAATCTTTTGAAATATTCGGAGTTTCAAAAAATCAATTTTTTATTTGAAACGAAGATAGGCTAACCATGTGTCGTACGTAGTGCCATACACAAGACGTGTATCGTCCAAAATCAGGAATCCCCCATACTGAGCAGCGTAACCCTACCCTCCAAATCTCTCTCTCTTTCTCCCCACCCCAACGGCCCAATGCCTAACGCCATATCCACAACATCTGTAACCCCTTTCAACCTCTCAAAACCAAGATTAAAATCCTTATCAAACTCTACCAGGCTCACTCACTTTCCCTTCAAGAGCTTCGCTCTACCCCAAAAGCAGCAGCAGCAGCAGCAGCAGCAGCAGCAGCAGGAGGAGGAGGAGGAGGACGAGAAGGAATCATCATCAGATTGGAAATCGAGGAGGGGCAGTTCACAGCTGAGCAGATGGTCCAGAGCCAGAGCCGTGCGCTCTGGCCGACGATTGAGCCGATCTCCGCCCATTAACAGCAACCAACAAGAGTCCACTTCTTCTTCTACTGCATTAGCTGAGATATCAGTGAGGGAAGGTGAGAAGAGTGAGTTTTATGATAATGAGGAGGAGAGGGAAGCAGAAGAGGGGAGTGGAGGAAAGGCGATATACATGGTGTCCGACGGGACGGGGTGGACTGCTGAGCACTCTGTTACAGCGGCGTTGGGGCAGTTTGAACACTGTTTGGTTGATAGGGGTTGCCCCGTCAACACCCACCTTTTCTCTGGAGTAAGCCTAAAAAACCCATACTCGTGCTCCCAGCTATTGTTTTTCTCGAACTGCCTTCGGAAAGTTTTGTTCCTGAATTGTCTCATTCAAATTCATCCATAGCAGATGAACACTATGTCTCAACGAGCTAAAATGACGTGCATTTGTTTATTCTTAAGTTTTCATTACCAGTAATGAACTTTCTTACACAGTGCCTTCTTAAAAAAATGAAAGAGAAATTGTAACTGATTTTAAAATAGTTGTGTGTGTGATGGATTATATAACATGCTAACCAATGTATTAGGGCAATCAAGACAAATTGTGAATTGTTAAAAAATAAACAGGACCCTGATGCATAATGAAGCAGTTAAGCAAAAAACCATTAATCCAGTTAAGCAAAAAACCATTAATCGCGCCTGTTAATATTCCTGTCGATATGTAGCCCAAATCTTTAACTGTTTCAAGTCCACTTCTTCTTTTCTTTTTCGAGATAATGAATTTTCGGTAATTGAAATTGGTGCAAGCTAATATGTGCAATTTTGATACTAGTTGAAAAAATACTTTCCAGAGGGCTATAATTACATGCTAACATAAACTATTTTTTTGTTTTTTCCCAAAACAAATATCATATACAAGAGTCTTTAAATTTTTTGAAAAACATTTCTTGTTATCGTATATTAAATATTCAATGAGATGAAATCTTAAAGTTTCATTATAATTTTGGAAATAGACAAATTTCATAATTTTTTTTTATAAATTTTAACAAAACTAGTTGCTTAACTTAAATTTCAAATTCTCTTTAATATTCCTTGATCTACGGCAGTTAAAAATCTTTTTATTATTCTTTTACCAACCTTTCTCCAATCTCTTCCCTCCATCTTTTCACATTAGTAAACCACCAAGGTTCTATGCTCTCGAGCAATTACAAATACATATTCTCAATTGACCATGAATCTACTAAAATGCTTCTAACTTCCTCTGTATCCAGATTGACGATCTCCATCCCCTAATGGAGATCATAAAACAAGCAGCAAGAGAGGGAGCTCTTGTCCTGTACACTCTCGCCGACTCCTCCTTAGCTGAGGCTGCCCAGAAGGCTTGCGAGCTATGGGGCGTTCCCTCCAAGGACATCCTCCGCCCAACAACAGAGGCCATTGCTGCCCACCTCGGAGTCTCCCCCTCAGGCATTCCGCGTGGTGCACCTGGTCGCCGCCATCACCTCACTGAAGACTACTTTAAGCGGATTGAGGCTATAGAGTTCACTATCAAGCAAGATGATGGTGCAATGCCTCAAAACTTGGATCAAGCAGATATTGTTTTAGTGGGAGTTAGTAGGACTGGTAAGACTCCATTGTCCATCTACTTGTCTCAAAAGGGTTACAAGGTGGCCAATGTGCCTATTGTGATGGGGGTTGAGCTCCCAAAGAAGCTCTTTGAGATCGATAAGGAGAAAATTTTTGGGCTCACTATCAGTTCTATTGTTCTACAAACGATACGGAGGGCTAGGGCGAAGACTCTAGGGTTTGGGGCGGAGATGAGGAGTAATTACTCAGAGATGGACCATGTGAGGGAGGAGTTGGAGTACGCTGGTCGGATTTTTGCACAGAATCCAAAGTGGCCAGTCATAGGTGAGTGAGAGCTCTCTCTCCTATATTTACTGTTGTTTGTTTGATTGCTATTTTATTTTATTACGTCTTTATCTTACTATATGCATCCCATGCATAAATGTAGATAACAATGCATGTAATGTGTTTACAGATCCCTGTGGCACACTTATGCAAATAGATTTAGTCTATATATAATCTTTTGATGTTAGCATCACCTGACACTGGAAGTGAATTCAATTAATTCTTACTCCAATAACCTCCGTCATCCTCCCCCTCCCATGTTTGAAGGATTAAGATAACCTCTATACCCTCCATAATTTGTCTCTATTGGCCTTGCAAATGTCCTCATATCTCTCTCATGTGCAAGAAAGTCATCAGAATCCAAGTTTTGCAATTCTCAGGTCTCCATAGATACTAAAAGGAACAGAGGTTTGAGGAACCAAACTCATGGTCCTTAAACCCACTTGGAAAAGGATCCAGTCTAGTGTTGATCCATTAGGCATTTGTTTACTTATCATGGACTAAATATTATACTTTGTTTAATGTTAGGAGAGAAAAGGGAGAATAAGAATCAGTGAAAGAAATATGAAATTGTTCATTGCTTCTGTAAAATTTGTTGTATGCGGGATTTGAATTGTTCCTGGCTGTGAGTGCAGTGGTGACTGGGAAAGCAATTGAAGAAACGGCTGCTGTCGTGGTTAGAATTTATCATGACAGGAAGCAGAAGTGCACCATGCCCCGGATCTCAAAACGATATTAGCATAACACGAGTTTTGCGTGCCTTATAATTTCTTCAAATTAGGGTATATCAACTTGTCTTTTGTAAATTGTCAACATATCTTTAAGGACATAATATAATTGTCATGGATCTAACGCATATAAGAAATTGCAAATCTTTAATGTAAATTGATGTGTATATAATGATATGTAAAAGGGAATAGAGCTTTGAATACCTTTTTTTGGAGAAAAAGTTTAGTGAAAGACTTTTAGCTTTTGCTTGTGCAACTAATCTCTCAAGCTATACCTGATCACGTGAACGAACTTTATTTCTTGTATTCTAAACAAAATTTAAGTTTACATGTCCAGTTACATATGCACTGCATAGGAACATTTCACTCAGGCAGTGTATGAGCTGGATTTGAGCCTTAACACTCTGCTGCAGATGACTTGCCCCAACCCTGACCCGCTCAATTCCAGCATAGAGTTTTTACTGAACATGAATTAATATTTCAGGAGTACTTTCTGGTTTTAGGAAATATGTGCATTAGTTTCATACTTTGGTTCTCCAAATGCATTGAAAATCCTTTCTTATTGCAAATCTTTATTTTCTTCAGTAGAATGTATGTTTTCCTTGCAAGTTCCTTGAGGCTTGTGGCTGTTGTTCTATTGTGGTGACACAAGATTTTCAGAAGCAAGCCACGGTTTCAAACTAAGCTTGACCTACCTTAGTTTTGTATTAAGAGCAAGCCTGCACTTTTTCAAACCTGACTTATAATGTAGATTGGCTCCTCCTTTGCCCGAGATTCCTTTTTTGGTGATCTATCTTGTAAGATTGCATACGAACTCTTCAAGCTTTGCACTCATTCCGGATGTTGGTTTCTTGGACTAATAATCAACAAAGCCTATAGCTAACTAATCACGGATGTCTGGACCATGTACTTCGTAATCACGAATTGATGTCAACTTTCTGAGGATGATGATTGGGAGATTGCCAAGTTGACTCTTCTTTCATTGTCCAATGTTAATGGCTCATCTCAAGCAGCTCCACTAAGCTCTCAAACAGTGTTTTAGAAAACGCTAGGCGGCTGCCGGGTAGTCTAGGCTGCCCAGCGTTTAGGCGGGTGCCCAGAACTTGGGCGGCCCAGTAGAAAGAAAAATATCTCTATAGTCTAATAATATAAGTATAACTGTATAACACACAAGTGTTAGGGACCTAGGGCACATGCAATGTATGGTACACAAGTCCACATAGCACACACTCCTCCATACTCCATAGGTCCATATCCAATTATCCATATTCCGATAGTCCTCACTCCACACATAGTTAAAACTCAAAATTTACCAACCAAAGTTACCAAACGAGTGAACCACAAATCCACAATACACAACCAAGAGGAGGAAAAAACGAAGAAGAAAGAAATATAGTATATAGATTATAGATTAAATCTATATCAATGGGTGATGCTTAGATCAATTTCTTGTAACTTTGAGAAACCTTGCGATCCTATGGAAATTATCAAAAACGTTTTTGGGGAGAAACTCTATCTAAAATAGGTTCTAATGGTGTTTAGGTTTCAAATGAACCTATAACCCACGATTTTGCCCCTTTTATATTAAAAAAAATAAAATAAAAAATGCCCTCAACGAGGGGCATTTCCGCCCTCTGGAAGAGTGTAGGCCCTGGGCACTGGGTGCCTGCCTAGGCTGATTCCCTGGCACATATGCGGGCACCCGGGGACAGCCTGCCTAATTTGGCTGCCTAGGAGTTGGGCAGTCTGCTTTTTAAAACAATGGTCTCAAACCTTTGAGATGCCTTTAAAATGCGGTATGAGGACCTTAGCTTTCTACCACTAGTTGAAGATTCTTGGAAAGAGGTTTGTCAAGTCCCCCATGTAACTTTTTGTTAATAAATCAAAGAACGTAAACGAAGACATGCCAAAAATGGAGTGCAGTGGTTTTCGGTTTTGTTAGCACATTGTTGATGGAGATTCAAGGTCAGCTTGCAGATTTTCAAGAAATTAATAATAGATGCCTACCCTTTGAACCAAGTTTTGATGGACGAAGGAAGTCTGCTTAGTATGCAACTCTTGGAAGTCCTTGCTAGATAGGAAGGCTTGTGGAGATAATATCAAGGCAAATGGGGCTTAGAGGTGTTGCTGCTAATATTATGTTGTTCCATACATCAACGGAGATATACAATATTTACATGAGGACCAACTATCTTGAATGCTGTTCTTGCACTTGTGCATTTTTTAATTGGGCTATTCTTCTTAATTTCCCCCATTACCCATGGAAAATTCGAAGTTGACTGGATCCGCTCGGTCAAACTGGTCTTGTGTTGACTCGATCCACTCGGTCAAGCTGGTCTCATGAAACTCAAAAGGTAAGTCTCGGGACTACCTATGAGCTGATATTACAAGAGGATATTCTGCTCACTTCTTAGGACTCTAGCAAGCTGCATCAAGTCGTCCCTTTCGTGAAAAAAGCGAGGACTACAGGCAAATTATAGCTTTGCAGAGCCTAATAATAATGCTTTTGCAAGACACTTGTAGCATAGGGTGCAAAAGGTCGGGATGCTGCAAGCTCGAATGATGAAGAGGAGGAAAGAGATTAGGTACTGGAAGACTAATCTTTGCAAGGCGAGGAATGAGATTAATATCTTAGCAAAGCTTTCTATTCCCTGAGTCTTGACTTCCTTTCTCTTCTCTGTGAGGGATGAGATTAATGAAGAAAGGAATTAATAATAAATCTCTCCCATTAAAGTGACAAGCCCTTATACCTCTGCATATGATTGCGTGCATGTGTCTTTAATCCTTTTAGGAACTATGCACATTAGTTTCATACTTTGGTTCTCCAAATGCATTGAAAATCCTTTCTTATTGCAAATCTTCATTTTCTACAGTAGAATGTATGTTTTCCTTGGAAGTTCCTTGAGGCTTGCGGCTGTTGTTCTATTGTGGTGACACAAGATTTTCTGAAGCAAGTCACGGTTTCAAACTAAGCTTGACCTACCATAGTTTTGTATTAAGAGCATGCTTGCACTTTTTCAAATCTGGCTTATAATGTAGATTGGCTCCTCCTTTGCCCGAGATTCCTTTTTTCGTGATCTATCTTGTAAGATTGCATACAAACTCTTCAAGCTTTGCACTCATTCCAGATGTTGGTTTCTTGGACTAATAATCAACAAAGCCTATAGCTAACTAATCACGAATGTCTAGACCATGTACTTCGTAATCACGAATTGGTTTCAACTTTTTGAGGATGATGATTGGGAGATTGCCAAGTTGACTCTTCTTTCATTGTCCATGTTAGTGGCTCATCTCAAGCAGCTCCACTAAGCTCTCAAACAGTGTTTTAGAAAACGCTAGGCAGCGGCTGGGACGTCTAGGCTGCTCAGCGTTTAGGCGGGTGCCCAGAACCTGGATGGCCCAGTAGAAAGAAAAATATCTCTATAGTCTAATAATATAAGTATAACTGTATAACACATAAGTGTTAGGGACTTAGGGCACACGCAATGTATGGTACACAAGTCCACATAGCACACACTCCTCCATACTCCATAGGTCCATATCCAATTATCCATAGTCTGATAGTCCTCACTCCACACATAGTTAAAACTCAAAATTTACCAACCAAAGTTACCAAACGAGTGAACTACAAATCCACGATACACAACCAAGAGGAGGAAAAAAACGAAGAAGAAAGAAATATAGTATATAGATTATAGATTAAATCTATATCAATGGGTGATGCTTAGATCAATTTCTTGTAACTTTAAGAAACCCTGCGATCCTATGGAAATTATCAAAAACGTTTTTTGGGAGAAACTCTATCTAAAATAGGTTCTAATGGTGTTTAGGTTTCAAATGAACCTATAACCCATGATTTTGCCCCTTTTATATTAAAAAAAATAAAATAAAAAATGCCCTCAACGAGGGGCATTTCCACCCTCGGGAAGAGCACAGGCCTTGGGCGTTGGGTGCCTGCCTAGGCCGGTTCCCTGGAGCCTATGCGGGCACCCGGGGACAGCCTGCCTAATTTGGCCGCCTAGGCGTTGGGCAGTCTGCTTTTTAAAACAATGGTCTCAAACCTTTGAGATGCCTTTAAAATGCGGTATAAGGACCTTAGCTTTCTACCACTAGTTGAAGATTCTTGGAAAGAGGTTTGTCAAGTCCCCCTTGTACTGTTTTGTTAATAAATCAAAGAACGTAAAAGAAGACATGCCAAAAATGGAGTGTAGTGGTTTTCGGTTTTGTTAGCACATTGTTGATGGAGATTCAAGGTCAGCTTGCAAATTTTCA